CATTTGTTACTGGAGGGCTGGAGCAGTAAAGTAACAAAATCTGTAGGGGAAACAATTACTTGGTCTGTTCAGAAGCAGTACAGACTATGAATACTTTCAAAGAACTGTAAAGTTGTCTGGAAAACAGGCAGGACAGCGGCAGAGAGAGAATGAATAGAAGAGGGGAATAACGCAGGTGAGACTGGCTGGGAGGGAGAGTGGGAGCAGTCCTGCAGGATCCAGAGGAGCTGAGTATGGGAGATAGTGGGGGCACTTGCTCCAATTACAGCCATGATCAAAACCCAATTGTGATATTAGGTTGCTTATCATTCAGGAAAACTGAGATATTGAATAACTGGGAGGGTACCACAGAGCTTTTTGTGTAAAGCCAGTGCCGGAGGTCTCAGCTAGAGCACAGCGTTCAATGGTGGCCTCCCCTTCTCAAAAATGACGGAGCTGAAAGAAGGGCATTAGGAAAAGGGTGACAAGAGTATTCAAGAGCTTGGGAAAACTCCCAACTGAAGAGAGGCCAGACCTTTTACCTCAGAAGATCCAGAAGAATGGAAATTGTATGGGCTGGAGGATACTAAATATGTTGGAGAGAAGCGGTCAGGAACATCCCCTATTCTCTTACTATGGCACAGGCCCACAGGGACACTGTATGAAACTTAACAGCTGTTCAGAAAGATACTACCTGGGGCTAATCGGGGAGGTGATCCTAACATTTGAAAATCCATGTCATAAATTCAACTGTAATAAGGTTTTAAGAGGGGGAGAGGATGGGCTACGGCAGCAGTCCTTACAAAAGCCTAACTCCTGACAAAAGTGCATCTTCAGAGGGGCTGTTGCTTAGTTACTTCATGCTCCAGTTTTTAAACTGTTACTTGAATTTTACCTGATTCATCCTTCTGAAATCCTGTTTACATTCTATAAGAGAAGTTAATAATTCAGTGTACTGTGCTCATTTATCCAAAATAAAAAAAAAAGAAAAGAAGCCTTTGATAGAGATGTCTAGTGCTTGTGCTATTACAGTGCCATTCAGCTACTGTGCAACTTCCACATTTCAAATCTCGTTTCTAATGTGCGGTATTTCATGATTCTAATTCATGTGCTTTGGAAAAAAAAGCTGTGCGTTTCATTGCTTAATGAGCTGGCCTAAAGCCACTCGCTTAGGTATTATATGAAACAAATGTGCGTGTGGGGGGGTGTTCGTATGAATTTATAGAGAAACATCACAGGGTGTTGTTCAGTAGGATGCAAAAAGAACAAGGCTCATTTTTTTTTGATGGCTTTCATGACGTCCTTCTTTCAGAGGCCTACCTAGATGGCTCTTTCCCCAGTGGGTCGTAGCTCCCATCATAGTGTCAGAAAGATGATTGTTGCTATGAGAAATGGTTCATCTAAGAACTGTTCCTCATCCTTTTTCCTTTCCCTTCCCAAATATTCGGCCACTGCTCCGGGTCCATACACTCCCTGTGCCATGGCAGTGCACGAGTTAAGTCTTCCTAGGGGCATGATGCAGCTCTGAAGTGACGTGGCTGTTGCTGAAACTTGCTGGAGAGCATAGAAGCTAATGCAAGGCCTTAGGTATTTTGGCACTCCTTGGAACACAGATACTAATCTAAACATCCATGTGCCCTTTGTATCGATCTGAAGTATATGGAGACATCGAACAGCTGATCTCTGGAAAGATCTGTCACACAAAGCCTTCCCTCTGCTCAGCTTGCTCTAAACAGCCCTCGCAAAATTAGATATATATTTTTAAATAAGGCAAACAGAAATCCTGCAGCCTGATTCTTCCCCCTGACAGAAAGATTTTTCCTTTTTTTCTTTTCTTTTTTTTTTTTCTTTTTCCTTTATTTGTAAAGAAACATGAATAAATTAATTAGATTTTTAAAAAATGCAAATATTGTTAAGGACTTTCTCAGGCTTGTGAAGAGAGAAGTGTTTATTTTAGAATGGTGTATTTTTTTCCAGATAGAGATCAATTACTAAATTATTCATTTCTCCCCTTTCTCCATTTTATTGCAGGTCTCATTCCTAGGTGGCTGTGATGATTAATGGGATGTGCTGGGTTAATACCTTGTGTTTGGGTACTCACATGATAGAAGCAGCTTTGTGCTAAGCTTTTAGTGGGGGTGCAAGATTGGAAGATATTTTGAAGGCGGCCAATTGGCCATGGCACTTCCACTTCTCTCAATTTAGCCATAAATCAATTGTGAATGATTTTCCCACAGTAATTTTTCATACGGTTTGAACTTGCGTAATGAACATCCCTGTCCCGGAGTGAAACTGTGATTTTTCTAGATCTTGTTGAAGACATGATCAAGATTTATGAAGGGTGACAATGTAAATCCATTACATTTTCCTTTCCCTCTTTTGTTTGCCTCTCCACCTCTTCTCTTCACCTGGCTCCTTCCTTCCTTCCTTCCTTCCTTCCTTCCTTCCTTCCTTCCTTCCTTCCTTCCTTCCTTCCTTCCTTCCTTCCTTCCTTCCTTCCTTCCTTCCTTCCTTCCTTCCTTCCTTCCTCCCTCCCTCCCTCCCTCCCTCCCTCCCTCCCTCTCTCCTTTCCTCTCTCTCCATCTTTACCATTGACTTAAGTGAAGCTGCCCATGCTGAGTAACCTCTCTGTCTGCTGGTGGTGCCCTTTGCACCACCACAGCAAGCCCACTTGACAATTACATTGGAATACAGCATTTATGTATTGGGTAATATTCTGCAACATTGTGTTTCTGTCTTGCTTGGTCGGTAGATGTAATGCTGAATTACAGCTTATTTGACCTAGGGCAGAGGACTTTTCCTTGACCAGGTCCAGCTAGGTCTTCAGAAATGTTTGTCAAGTCACGTGTTAATAAGCACCTTTGTTTTTTATCCAGTAATAAATACACACACAAGCAAAACCATTTTGTTTGTAGTCTGCCTGAAATTAAGTTGCAGACCGCATCTGGCCGTTGGTCCAGGAATTCCTTGTTCCTGTATTACAGTGTCTGATAGTAGTTGAAAGAGAGATTTTTTCGGAAATCATTTTGCAAGTGACTCTGGAGAGACAATGAATGTAAATTCTTGCAGACTTACAAAGACTGCAGTCGGAATATTGAGTGAAACTCAAAGAGCAACATAGCGGTTCTTCTTCACATCACAGGCTTCAGAGAGTTAGTATTCAAAAGAATGTGGGAAATTGGGTCATTTTTGTACAGTAGAGAAAAGATCTGAGGTTACCAACTCTCTTGCTGTAACGATGCAGGAACTCTAAGTCTGGATTAGCAGGAAACCTGAGCAGGATTTTTCTCTGCATTTAACATGAAAATTGAATAAATTTTATTTAACTCAAGGAATGAAATTCTGCCACCACTGAAATCGATGTCAAAATTTCCATTGGCTTTTTTTGGGGAATATGATGTCACCCTACCAACGTAAAAACAAAGTGGACTCTTTAGGTCTTAAAGCCAGTTATTTCTGTCAGAATGTACTTGTAAGATTTTTTTGGAATATCTTGTTTTTAGATTAGCAGTTCACTTTTCTCACTCGGAATTATTTTTTCTGCCTTTTAAAAATGGCTAAAATTTACCTTTCAGTAATTAATGCCTAGAATGACACCTTCAAAGAACTGAGGGTCACACAGAGGTGGAGTTAATTAGCATCAAGTAAATACGTACTCACTATCTTTCCTGCATGGGGTTTGAATTTTTATTCCTCTTCCCTTCCCCTTCTATTTTTGGTGAATAATACAAGTGGGAGTTGTTGTAAGGATTTTATAGTCCCCGAATAGTTTTCAGAGTTTATGGGATAGTATTTTATAACTACACTCTGTAAGCAGTGGTGTCTTTCGGAACGGCCATGAAATGTTATAGTGGAGATTTCAAAAAGACAAGGTCTTGGCATAGGTTTCTGCAGGGAGAAAACATGACTTAGGGCTGGTTTGGAGCTTGTTGCATGCCAGGGATGGCCCCATGGGCACCTTGGATTGTAGACTTATGGGTCTATGTCAGCAGGTAGGAATCAGTGGAAGTAAGAGTGGCCTGCAACAGGCCACCGTGAGTGAAAGGCCAGGTTGCCCATGCCCTGACTGCAGCAGTAGAAAGTAGTGGATATCTCAGTGGGCTTCTGTTCATGTCTTGTCCTTACATTTCCCCAGACCTGGGAACTTCCAGAGGGTACTGGAATAGTAGAGAAAAAAATAATGAAAAAGCAACATCTTGTAACTTTCTCCATGACAGAACTCTGAAGAAAGTCCTTCTTTATCCTGTTTTTCACAGAACCTGGGTCTCAGTAGCCACACTGTTAGAAATTGGTGTAAGCTGCAGACAATTCAGCTGGCACTATTTACATGGAGCATGTAAATAGTCAGTACATGAGTGATGTGCAAGAAAATCAGACTGGGAAGATGCTAAAGGAAAATCAGGGGGTTAAAGAGGCTGTAAGATAGCATGATGCATGGCTTTCACTGCATTTTATTCTTAATTATTCTTGCTGCTACTTTGCCCTTCCAGCATCTCAACATGCAAGGCAGACCTACTTTATCCGGTGTGAACGGCTACTAAGTTGGATGTTCATTTCTTCTCTTTATATATCTGTTTCTTCTAACAGCCCCAGGCCAACATTTTGTTAGTGTAGAATTTGCCCAGGAAAATAAAGTAAGCTTTGGCAAGGAAAAAAAAAATCTAACAGTATAATAGCTGTGTAAGTTTAAAGGCATAAATTGATGGTTCACATAAAGATTATAAGACATTTTGGTTGCAGGCTGTTAACCATGCTGCCAGTACATTACAGAAGTCTAGCTTGCAGTTGTCAGCATTTCAGAGTTTTCCCCACTAATTCATTACTTTGTTCTCATCTGGAAGATGTAGCATGCAACTACAGCTTCCTGCATTATCATTTTTCGTATGCTTCAAAATTGTAACCAAAAATGTTTTGTTACCCCAAAATACCTGAGACTCCATTCCTTCGGCTGAACGCCGACACCAATTATAAAATTACTTGGATGTTCAGTGGGCTGACAAAGCAAAAGCTACATCCAGATTTAAAGGCCTGATGAGAAGTCACGCTGCAAAATATAATGCTTTGAAAAATACAGGCACCTCTTTTCCTATGCATGAAACCAAACATAAAACAAAGTATTGCTGTGTTTGTCATACGAAAAGATGGACTTTTCTGTATTATCTCGTAAAACATATTTTTCCTGTTCCTAAGAGGAGCAGATTAAGACATTTGAACACCTCAGCTAGACTTCTTAGAGGTTGGCTGGAAGTTACCGAACATATGGTGTTTTGGGTAAACAGAGAGCCACTAAGAAGATATTTGAAATCTTTTGGAATATATAAGCCAATCAGATCCCCACTGGGATCTGACACTATTGCATGGGGCTCAGAGCATGTAACTAGTGCTTAACCAGACCTAAAAAGGGAAGCGAGCAGCCTGAGCTAATTCTCTGGGTTCCCCCTGCAGTCAATGAGTTAAGGAGGTAAATTCATTGCACTTAATTTAGACGTCTGTGCAGGAATTAAATAAATCTTCAGCTGCCTGTGTCCTCACTGATTAAAACAGGAGTTGGCTGGTTAGTTTAGAAAGCATGCCCTAACCTGGAAATAAAGTCAGCCAGGTGAGTCCCATCCCAAATACATTACTTCCCTGCAATGGGGTCTAGGCGGAGCTGTTGTCAAATAAGCTCCTATTTGTGTCAAGCTACAGTTGTTACCTGCTGCAAGTTGCATGGAGCCTGCTGTCTGCAGCACAGAAACAATGTTCAGGGCGAGGGATGTCCAAAACAGAGGACAGGGAATGGGTTCTGGGGTTTGTTTTTCAGGGAGCCAAGGGGCGGCAGCGTCTGAAAACTGTTGGGAAACCCAGCCCATGGGGCTGGAGCTGGCAGCTAGCACTGAGCCTAGCAGCAAGGCTGCTTGCTGGAGAGGCTGGAGCAGATGAGTTTAGCACACCCTGTTCCAGATGGAGGTTCATGGGCTGTCTGTTTTGCTCTGTTGAAGAAAAAAAAGAAAACGATGAAGGAAATACCCAGTGTTTGCGCTTTCCTTTCTGTTTAGCCACTGCCACTAAGGCAAGAGCTTGGAGGGACTGGGATTTCACTGGAGGGGTACAAAGGGAGGCTGCTGATGCGTGTTATAGGGCAGTGCTGGCAGCAGGGACCGGTGCTGTTCCTATTAAAGCAGCACTCTCATCGACTTCAGTGGCAGCTGATTTAGGCCTATATTGAAGCTTGCTGTTACCAGAAATTGAGACAACAGCAGTGGATGTTGTGTTTGGATGTGGTGTGTTTTCAGGACAAACAGAAATAAGCAATATTTAGCATACCTTGATTTCCCCTCCTTCCACCCCTTTAAAACTAGCTGTTTCTATCAGCAAGCTGCATGCAGGAGTCCTACAGATACTGGGATAAATGCTTGCAGGTTTTAAAGCCCTCCCTTAGCAGTAGGCTTGCAGTAGAAGTTCCTATTTGAAGCAGTTGTTCCCCACTGCATCTAGAAAAGGCACAAAACCAATATGTCAGATGAAACTAGTTTTTTAGCCCCTCTTTCTGATATCATAGACTGGTCTTAGAGGTCTGTAACATCATATAATGATAAAAGAAAGGCGACCTTGTTGCTTTCCCTTCCCTCCAGCTTAGCAGATGCTGGGATATCTTCGCGCAAACGCGGTGAGTTCACCTGCTTGCAGGACGTGCCACGGCTCGGGTGCAAGGGGATGTTCTGAAATGGGCTGGCACTGATAGCAAAAGTCATCTAATTTCTACAACTAAGGTGAAGGTCTGCAGTGTATGCATAGCATGCTTATCTACAGTCTTGATGGATGATGTTTTCCTCCTGGACAATTGCTTGAAAAGTATTGTACTTCTGGAAAGTGCTTCTCTAGGGAACAGTTATGTTTAGCTCACCAGAAATGTGATGGATCATCAAAAATCTCATAGTACTCCATTCTAACTTTTTCAAATGCACCGTGCTTTCTCCTTTGTCACCAAACCCATCCCTTAACCTGAAAGGAAGATAAGATGCTAAATTCACAAGGACTTTATGGTCTTCAGAATTTGATGCATATCAGCTCTTTGGGGAAGTTTTATGAGAGAGAAAGAATCTGGAGAACAAAATAGCTGATATGCCACAGATTATGAAGACTGTCTAAAAAGTCTTTCCATTATATATATATATAATGTAAGATTATATTTATATATAATTTATATAATATATATATATTTATATAATATATATATATATATTTATATAATATATATATATATAATTTATATATAATGTAAGATTATATTTTTCTCTTTATTTATCACTGTCTCTGAAAACACAACAATCAGATCAGCACTAAAAGTTTTTTATGTCATTTATTTGGCAAGCTAACACGCTGCCTAATTTCTTGTTTCTTTCTGGGATGACTGAGAAAATGGCAAAAAGCCATCCTCAGAAGCAGCTGATCTTGGCCAATATGTTAGACCCTCTCAGTTGGACTCTAGACTAGAATACGGCAGAGATTACTTTTGTGTTGCTAATGGATGATTTCTTAGTCATAGCTCATAGACAGATTTATTTCTGGCCTGTCTAGAATATTTGACATTGTGGATAACGCATTGCAGCTGATATGCCTTGAAGATCTTGTAAAGATGGAAGCAAATGATATGGATTCAGTCCAGCTTCAGTGACTGAACCTTAGTGCATAGCTGCAACTCTTCCCCTAGTATTCTTTGTAAAAAAACAAAAACAAACATAAAATAAAATAAAATAAAAACTACAAATGCTATCCTCTGTCCTGCCTTGGTACAACTACTGTGAGGGAAACTAACTGTACCGTAGCATGTATAGGCATCTTTGCACCTGACAAAGAAAATACGGGACTCCTGACAATTCCCATGGCTAAGCTGAAAAAATACTCAGCTAAAAGAAAATCAGGCTAAAACCAGACTCTGGCAAAATAAAAGGAATGGAGAGGAAAAGCTAATGTTTCCAAGATGAGACAATACATAACATCATCAGTTGCCCATGAAACTATTTCAAATATCTTTAATGTCATGAAAGATGTAGTTTCCCTTTTCCCTTTTCCTCCTTAGATCATGGACAATCAAGTAGCAGTTACTCCCAAAATGTTCCCTCCCTCCTCTTTGCAGATTTTCTGCAGACAGATAATATCTTGATAGTGTTCAGACCTATCTTCAGCTCAGGTCGTGTTCTGTTATGAATTGAAAATCTGGTCTCTAGGATGTCAAACTACTTGTTTAAGTTCTCTGCATAAAAGTTGGCCATCAATAATATGCTTTGATCACTCTTTTGTTTTCTGTAAAAAATGGGATTAGGTTGTTAATCAAGCTTTATAAGGCTTAGGTGAAGAAACTGTCATTCTTTTTATATAATAACCTACAATAGCATCAAGTGTTCACCCGCTGGGAGAAATGAAAATGGAAGCATAATATTCAGATGTCCAGCTCTCAGTTTCATAATTGTCTTTTAGAGATCAAGCTCATGATAAATCATCCTGAAACTGCTTTGAATAATCCACCTGTCCTTAACAATAATTCCCCTAGTAAAAGGCCAAAGTTGTCCTTAGCCAAGGAACTGCAAAGAGGCTTGTGAAGCTGGAAGATGGGCTGGTGTGCACATTTCTGGGGCAGCTTTACCCAATGGATCGCTAGTTTTCTGTTCTCTCATAGCATCTCAGACAGTGCTATACTCCAAAGAACTTTGTGTTACCTGTTGCTTAAGTGCATTTTACATGGTAGATCAAAAGATCATGTAAAGGTGTAGTTGTAGCTTATAATGATTATTTATTACTGCTGTCACTCATATTGCATATTTCCCTGCCATTCTGTTTCCTTGCCATACCCCATCAAAGCATAACAGATTCAAATAAGCAAACATTTTAAATACATTTGGATGATTTAAAAAGCTGTATGATTACATTCTGAATCTTAAATTAACACCCTTGAGTGAGATGAATTGAGGTTCTTATCTTTTTTTCTCTCTTTCCTGTCTCTCTTCCTAACCCTCCTCCCCCCCACTGAAACATGCCCTATAGTTAAGTGTTGGGTCCAGTATAAAAAGGCAAATGTTGAAGAGTGAAAAGAACCCACTAAACTACTAATGTTAATTTCAGACTGTAATGGAACAAAAGCACACAAGGGATTTTTCAAAAATGTGTTATTTTTGTGAATTAGCTTATTTTTTTCCCCTCATCATGGTTTCACTGTAAACAAACAAGCTATTAAATAGGTGACTAAAATGAGATGTCTCTCACAAAGCCATGTAGGATTTCTGTTCCTTGTATGTATCTCTCTTGTACGATATTTGCCCTACATTGGTCCTCTTGTTGCAACACGCATTTCCTAGGAGCAGTGCGTGAAGTTTCCTTCCTCTTGTGAAAAACTAAGCATATTTTCGTTAATCTTGAGTTATTAACTGGTGATATATAAGGAACAATTTCTATTACCACTGAATCCTAGAAGAGATCCATTGTGGAAAGCTGTTCAAAGCCCAGGGTGAACTTTTCAAAGGCATGTGCTTTTAGAGGGAGCTGGAATCCTATCATCCCATGATGTGTCTTTGAAACTCTCCCCAATGTGCCTAAGACCATGTGTGTGACTGTGTGCCTAATTTGTGAGTAGTCGTAATGATCATACAGTAATAGGCATGCAACTGAGCCTACGTTTTGTTCCTAACTCCAAGTGCCTTTAGCTGAATTTTCAAAGAGGCTGAATTCTTACATCTGCTACTACTTCAGTGGAGCTGTAGGTGCTCTGGGACTGAAAATCAAGTTAGTGACATACTGAAAAATTAAAGTGGAGGTACATATGAGTCAATCACATATCTACTGTTCGTTCGTAAGTCAGACTTACGAACCAAATCTTTCTGAGTTTAATGGAGACTACTGACATAGTCTTTCAGGAAGACTTTTAAATTTGAGAACTTGCTTTTTCTCTCCTTATCACCCAAACTTCAGCCTTACCTAATTAGTATTTTCATTCACCGGTCATTACTCACATTTTATTTATTGGCTTAGTCATCTGGTAGGTCCAGAGCTTGGTGGATGTTCCGTTTTCTTTCTTCATACTGAATGTTTATTTGCAACACTTCTGATCTTGGTTTCAGATGGTCTGTAGGCTAAGCCATAGTTACATCCTCTAGGCTGATATTCACTTTTAATATGTAGAAAAAAAAATAAAAATGAATAAAGCTTGATATTCAGCCTGAGTCTGCAAAAAGTGTTCTTTCCACTAATGTTTTTCGTATTTTGTGACTATTAATACATGTTCACTCTTATGCACATTAGTCATTCCATTAACCTGTTGGAAATACTGGTATGTACAGTTAAATGGGTATCTTCATGTTTGCAGGTAAAAGCACTTTCTTTGATTTTTTTTTTCTCCAGTTCTAACTTTTATAAATCATGTTACACTTCAAAAATATCATGATGTTGGCTGAAAAAAAAAAGGGACTCTAAAACAAAATGTGCATTCTTTTTATTTGTCTTCTGTTTTTTGATCTTCTATCTTCAGCTTAGTGATGTTTTCAAAACTCCCCTTTTCAATAATGAAGGCTAAGAGCATCTGGGTTTTTATTTTAAAGCAAAAAAATGAAACCTTTACAGATACCTATGGTTGAAGGAATGAGACTTTTAGAAAAATACCAAGTCAAAATACACAAAATAACAGTACAAGTTAGAGGTAGAGGAGCCTTAGACAGAGAGCAAACTAAAAGCATAAAAGAATAACTTTTTAGCAGTTCAATGCTTAGAGTCACTGAAATAAAGACCCTTGAAACTGTGTGAGTCTTTAAAACAATGCAATTTCAGGAGTCTCTCAACCCTGCAGTGCTTAATTTAGACCCACTATCAAACAGATCTGAACTTCTCTTGAACAAGAACTGAATGTCTGGATTCATACAAGCACTAAAGGATTATTGATGAGTAGGTGGAGGAATTTTGTCTTGTTTGGTTATATATGTTGGCATTTTTCACTGCAATAGCTGTACCCGTTTGCAATGCTGTCTGCAACCACCTCAGTCGAGGATGAATTTTCCTGCCCTGCATTTGCCTTTGATTCTCGTAGAGTACCCATGAACTGTGAAGAAAACAGCACTGCTTAAGCATAGTCTATTCAAGTATATTCAAAATATGTTATTTTTAGCATTATTGTTAATATGAAATGTTCCACCAACCAGCTGGAATTATGCAAATCCTAACACATGCGTTCCTCACTAATCTGCACTCTTGGATGTACTCTTTACATTCATTTCATTTTATGAATGTCTTTCCAGCATACTTCCCTACAATAGGAGATTGAAAAGCCTGCAATTTTCTTCTTGCCTGATTCTCCCATTGGGTTTTGTTCATATTCAAAAAATAAATTGATGTCTATTTTTTTTTTACTCCAGATTGAGGAGAAAATCTACCTGCCAGCAGAGATGAGTGGGAAGAAAAAGGAAGGTCCTTGAACTACAAAAAGTGCATTCTTCAGGCAGTCCTTTGGTGACTCCCTGTTTGTAGTAGAGGTAATTAGGGCAGGCTTGGAAGGACCCCTGAAGGTCTGAGAAATTTTTCAGTAACTTGCTCTCAAGCCAGATGCTTGTAAGCTCCGTCACCTTCACTCATATCACCAAAATATCATATGTTTCAAGACAATTCATGGATGAAATGAGAAGAAAGAATTGCTGGCTTTGCAATGTTACCCACACTGGTCTGCTTGTGGATCGAGAGAACATAGACATGGCCTTTGTCATTGTCCTCGTCACACCAGTGTTCTTGCCATGGAGATAATGCACAACCTCTCTTACTCTCTTCTCCTTCCTGCTAACGGCAACTGGCATGTAAAAGGAAGCTTATATGTGTGTCCCGGTCCTCATGTATTTTTGCTTCCCCGTTGATTTATGGGAGCAGGCTTTCAGTTCCTTCTGGGGTTTTATAGCCATGGGTGTACGATGGGGTTCTGTGTGTTCACACTCCGCTTGCTGCCAGAACAGCTCAGATTTTCTTGCCCTCTAGCGTTTTCAGTGGGGAGTAGGAGGATTTGTCCGAGAGGTGAACAGCCTAGTTCCATGCTTTGAATTCCTGTGGTTAAATGACATTCTAAATCTTTGTTTTATTCTCACCTTGCACCTTGTCTGTTTTAAAGCTTTCTTAGAAAACTCATTCAATTTTAAAAACTTATTTACACCTCTAGTTCACCTTGTCTCCCTATAAAGGTCTTTTCAAACCTGGTAACTTCAATAATTTGTTGTGTCTCTTCATTTTTGCTGAACTTGTTATTTCCAAATTGAATTGGTACAAGCTTTATTTGCTGCTGCTGTTTTATTTTTCTGCAATGGAAGATAAAACACACAGCATGATAGGATTTTTCAGGCTTTTTCTGACTAAAATATTAAAACAGCTCTGATTGCTGCTAGTCAAAAACTGGCGACACATTTCACATTTAGCCTCCAGGGGCAGAAGTGATCACCCCTGCCTGTACTTATACCCTGCTCAACACCTTTAGGTCTTCCCCATGAAATCCGGTGGATGATGGGATTTTTCACTGCAAGAATCTAGCCTTGCCTCAGGCTTCCTCTTTCCTTAAGAAAGAAGGGACATTCAGACTTGTTAACACTGTGCACAAGAGGTTGCTCACTTCTCCTGCAAATCCAGACTTGCAGACCTGGCAAGTTAGTTACACAGTCATCGGTGTTGAACTACAGGTACAAGGGCTGTCAGGGGTGTATAACTTTATTGTTTCAGTCAGTCCTGCCTCCTAACTACTAGAGTTTCTGCTATTTTTTTTCAATCCACCTTTAACCCGAATCTGGTCTATGTTTCTTAACACTGTTTTCTTGAACAAATTGAGCCTCCATTGAGCTACTGCTAGAAGAAGTCAAAAGGAAAGGGAAAATCATGCTGTTCCTAGCTCAAACTTTTTGAAAATGTCCCTAAAATTAACCTCTGTTTTGCTAATTTAATATTTATCAGTTGTTTGTAAACGTCAGGTGTCAGCAGCTTAGTTTTGGCTCATTCACGTGATACCGTTCATTTGAATCTTACTGATAAGTTGTATCTTGACCAGAGCACATTTGAATGCTGATATTCTGGCATTGGACCTATTTCCTCTGGTGTCATGGTTAACCATAACTGTTAACCCCATATGCTAATAATATTATACCATGATTGTTTTACAACCACAGCTAATTTTTCCTATTCATTCCTTGTACCAATGAGTTTGCCTGATTCATTTGATATGGTTTCTGGCTTCATAATGTTTTGACAGAGTTGCAAAATGTTCTTGTTTAGAATTATTGCAGCCCATGTGACCTCTGTTCCCTACAGGGTATCTCCCATTATAAGCGATGCTGTTCAGAATAACTTTCAGACTTGCCTAAAACAAGAGTTCAACTAATTACACTCTGAATTTGAACTCGTGGATCGTATAAAACAAAAACATTAATTTTAGACTGCAGAAATTTAAGCATTCAGAACACATTGAAATGAATGAGAAAATAAGAATTTACATTTTGAAGAACACATGCTTCAGGTTAGATAGTTTTCTTAAACAGCTCTTCCTCCCGTAGGTCAGTCTTGTGCTTTGGATGCCTTCATCAAGTTCAGTAGGAAAGAAACAATCATTCATCTATATCCAAATAAAGACTGTATCTTACTACACACTCACTGACTTGAGGGTGTTGAGACACTGGCACAGGCAGAAGCTGTGGATGCCCCATCCCTGGAGGTGTTCAAGGCCAGGCTGGGTGAGGCTTTGGGCAACCTGGGCTGGTGGGAGGTGTCCCTGCCCATGGCAGGGGTGGTGGTGGTGGAACAAGATGTTCTTTGAGGGTCTCTTCCTACCCAAATCATCCTGTGATTCTGTAATCCTGCTATTGTGTTCAGTTTTGGGCCCCTTGCTACAAGAAGGACATCAAGGTGCTTGAGCGAGTCCAGAGAAGGGCGACGAAGCTGGTGAGGGGCCTGGAGAACAAGTCCTACGAGGAGCGGCTGAGGGAGCTGGGCTTGTTCAGCCTGGAGAAAAGGAGGCTCAGGGGCGACCTTATTGCTCTCTACAGGTACTTTAAAGGAGCTGTAGCGAGGTGGGGGTTGGTCTGTTCTCCCACGTGCCTGGTGACAGAACGAGGGAAAATGGGCTTAAGTTGTGCCAGGGGAGTTTTAGGTTGGATCTTAGGAAGAGCTTATTTAACGAAAGGGTTGTTAGACATTGGAACGGGCTGCCCAGGGAAGTGGTGGAGTCACCATCCCTGGAAGTCTTTAAAAGACGTTTAGATGTAAAGCTTAGTGATATGATTTAGTGGGGACTGTTAGTGTTAGGTCAGAGGTTGGACCTGATGATCTTGAAGTCTCTTCCAACCTAGAAATTCTGTGATTCTGTAATAGCTGGTACAGTGGTGTCCAGATCATTGATTGGAGCTTCTATATAATATTGCTATATAAATAATAAATACCTAGCACAGGCTGTGGGTGAGATGTTTTTGAGGTGGCAACTCAAAAATCTGCAAGATTAGTATCTTAACATTGACCAAACAGGGCTTTAACTTTCCACTCAACTGGCAAGGGATTTCCACCCAACTGGTATGGGATTTCTGGTTTTGCTGGGTGTGTTCCAGCCATAGCAATTTCTTTTGTGAGGTTTATATCCTCCTTGTGGTAAATGCTGAGGCTCCATAAGCATATGCATTTCAAAATGGGAATACAGGCGTGTTCAGCATAAGGCAATACATTTATTACAATCAGGTTTCTCATGTTTCTGAATTATAAACAAAGAATTACTTTTTCCTTTGTTGTCTTGCCATGAATCAAGCAAAGTTGACGTCAAAGGAGTCATTCAAGGATTAATTTGATTACATACATACATGCATACAGAAAGAAAGAGAGATGTTTATTCTTAAACAGTGCTGCTTATCTGCCTTCACTGACAGCGGTTAATATTGTATCACTCAAACAGGAGTGGAAGGCTTTCCCAAAACAACCCTCCTTTTTGAAAAATGGAAACCTTTTCTCTGTCCAAACATGAAATCCAAATATGCCCTGAAACAGATCTATTAATTACACTTAAATATATATGTCTATAAGCTGTAGGTTTGGCAAGGTTATATGGTGTAATTTCCCCACATAGAGAAAATTCCTCCATACAGAAAAAATTCCCCTCATAAGAAGCTTTTCTGCAAAGTACCATTTTTTTTTTTTTTTTTTGGTGCAATGGGTGAACCAGGTGTGTTGTTCTTTTATGAAACTTCCTAATCCATGGAGATGAGTTGCCACGGGCTAATTATAAATGATATAAAAATGTTTCCTTTGGTCTTGTTCCGTCTATAAAATGTAAGCACGGCCTTCACGAGAATCAGCAGCACATGGTGCTCTTCACAAGTCAAAACAGTTCCAGTAAGTCTGACAACAGGGCTGGAGAGATTAAATATATTTCTAAAACATATTCCTCTGCTGGTGAGAGAGGGTCAGGAAGTGGGGAGAGGGGGATCTGAGTAAAACAGTGAAAAGAAACATTGAACAGAGGAGGAAAGGGGGAGATAGAGATCCTCTTCGAAATGTCCCCTATTTCACTTTGAGTAGTAATGTACGCATCCTTTTTCCTGATCTGCTTTGCTGTGTCTGGGCTGTGAAGCAGATGAAGCACGTGGCTGACCCTTGCCCACTGACTGCAGCTTGTGCAAACGAAGGGGCTGAGTTGCATCCAAGCTCCTTGGGCCCCCGTCCCTCCCTGTGGAAACCAGGCAGGTGTCCCAGGCCCAGGTCCCGCTCTGAGGGTGCCGAGGGCTCCCCGCTTCAGCAGAGCCCATACAGCTTGCTAAAGGACGCTGTCTCTTACCACACCTTTGTTGTGAAGATGGGTTAGGTATCTAGCACAGATATCAGAGGCTTTAGACACCTTTACAATACACTTTAAATGCTCTTTGAAAGGAAATCTGGTACAATCACGGGCTAGAATTCAAATCCATTTCGATGGACAAGACTCCTGGCAATTACCGATACAGTTTCAATACGAAGCGAATCGATAGTGATAAGGAATTTGAAGGCAGTGAAGGAAAGCAATACGCTTTTGCCACGGGGTCAAATAGAAATAAAACCGTTTGCCTCTGTCTTAAAAAGTGTTGACAGATTTCAACGCCCAGAGGGAAGGAATGGGAGACGATGGATATAACACAGAAAAAACTTGTCTTAAGCAATAACTGGGAGCCCACCAAAGACTGGTTGCCTAGAGATGGTGCTTTGTAAGACTGAACAAAATTATGCCAGGAACTTTAGAAGTGGATCAATACGGTCTCCAAAGAGAGGAGTTTTTCACTTGCAGGCAGCCTTTTACAACATCTGACTGTGAGCGCCCTAAGATTTGGAGTTGGAAGGCCAACTTTATGCCATTAGACAGTCATCCAAACCTTCAGAGCACGGAAAGATGCAAATAACTTCATTTCTAAATAGGTTGCCAGACTGTTGTCTTCACACTGGCGTTCTTGGTGCACCCTTGGTCCCCAGCATTTGTTAAGAGTCCTCTACCTGTGCAGATTGGTTTTATCTTTTCACTGTCACAGCTGTGCTGGTTGGCACTGGGTTTTATGTAGAAAGTGGGAAAATGGCTGGGTCCGTGGCCCAACCCACTCCTTCTGTTCCATATTCCCCCACGCGGGAGCAGAGGCAAAGTTAAATTGCAGAGCATCGTAATTGCTGAAGAGCAAAGTGCGAAGGAAAGATTATAATTGATACAGAGCAAAGTTACCGTATGGTAGAGTGATGTTATGCCAAATATTTTTGCAGTGTTTCTAAAAGTGGGAGCATAACTTTTCAAACAACTCTGAAGTGCTTACAAATTGCCTGATGTGAATTGCTTTTCTTCATTTAGCAATATTTAGGGGAACTGAATGGTTTTGCTCGATTATAGCAGTTAATTTGATCTAATGCAATTGATGTAAATCATGTAGTTAGCCTGATTTATGTCAATTGAGCCAGCAAAAATTTGTTTATAAACCAAGCCCAGAGTGTCTTTCTTAACACCAAAAGTATTTTTGTGACAACTGCTGCTGTGAAGTAGAATACATATTGCCAGGCAAACAGCATTTCAATTGTACTTTTGATTTCTTTATGGGCTTGGGTAGGGAAAAGACTTGAATTATTAATTACAGAAATGTGACATTTTGTGGTAATTTCTTAGTGGATTTGGGAATTTCATTTTTGGAAAAAAAAAAAGCTATTATGTTCAAAAGGCGTTTGGAGAAGTAGAATGGTGTTTTCTCACTAATGCATTTCCAGTAAACATGGAGAGTTAATGATTTTCAGAGATCTGTAATTGTATGCTGACAGTTTCTCCACTGAGGGAAGACCACTCTGCGGAGGAACAATTGTCCCACATGTGGACGATTCAGAATTCCTTTTGCAAGGGGTTTTGTGGCTTCTGTATGCATTTATTATGGCATTTTAAAATATCATGTACCAGTCTTAAGGCAGTGACGTTTTTTGGCTGATTCTTCTCTCTCAGGATTCTGTTCCATTGAATCTGTAACAATTTCTCAGGGATCAATGAAATTACTCCCGTATAAAACTGCTGTGAGAGGAAAACCAGATTAGATGCATGTGGGTATTTTTACCTTATGCCCCTCTGTTACCATCAGTAAAGGCACACTCTATACCAAATTTTAAGTATTTAAAAAGAATGTCTGTTTTTTGATCTTGAATGTGTTGAATAATACATCTAGTTATTGTTAGGTTAAGAATCGTTGAAAACCGACACGTGAGCAAACAGCTTATTTTCCCTGTTCCCTGCTGTATTTATGTAGGTCGTTTGAGGGGCGCCGACGGCAGCAGCATGCAGCGCGCTCCCAGTCACACCTCGCCTTTCCGTATGCACAAAGCTGCCATATGTTTCCTCAGCTTCGCTGTCAGCTTCCCCGTGCTTGTTCCTGTTAAATGCAGAGCCTGGAAGTTGGGTGGGAAGCGCCTCTGGAGCAGGGCAGAAGTACTCGATGTGACCAGCTAGGAGTGAAGTTCAAATACATGCAAATGCTGTCCAGCAGCATAAATCTGCCCATGCGGACTTTGGGAGGACTGTGTCACCCTCTCCAGTCTCTGCAAATGCTGGTTAAGCTGAGATTTAGTTACAGCGATGTCATATACATGCTATTCCTAAAGAAACATGTTTTTTTTTTTCTTCATTTTTTTTTCTTTCCCCAAGTTGGCTGTGTCAAACAGATCAAATCCCCATCAGCTATACGGACAAATTGAGTCATTTGGTTTCATGCATTCTTAAGGCACTGTGTCTTCTTGTTGCGCTGCTTCAGTGCGGCTCTCTGGGGAGCTGTCACAAACCCCAAGCTAATGCAAGTTAGGAAAGAAAAGTTGCTGGCAGGGCCAGTTCCTAGGAGCGTTACTGTCCC